CCATTCTGAGAATGTCTGGGACCTCCCTGGAGGGGCATTTTTAATTATTTTGGAGGCTCAGTGTTTTCCAGGTGTCTGGGACAAGTCACTGACTCTCTCTGCCCCTTGGGGAGAAAGTACATCTTTGCAAAGAGGTCACAAGAAAGGATGAAGGCATTTTGGAGAGGCAGGACTCTTACTCCTTCTTGTTGTTCTTGTCTTTATGTTTGTATGTCTGTATGTTTTCCCTAGGAGATTGTTGACTGGTTCAATGCCATTCGGGCAGCACGTTACCATTATCTCAGAACAACCTTCCCAGCTGTCCCTGAGCCTGAGGTGAGAACTGAACAGGGCTTGAAGCAGTCTGTGCAAACATAGCATGGGAAAACATTTTCTCACTTCTGCCAGAGTCAGGTGCTCAAACAGCAGCATATGGGTCTTGAGAATGGACAGAAGAGGTAGAAGGAAAGGCCACACTGGATAATATGCAAAAACGTAGTCAACATTTAAGGCCTAAAAGTCTCCCATGTGGTCCTCATAAAGTGTAATATTTCAAAAACCTTACGTTCCTTCTTATTTCAGACTTCTCTTTACTGAGCAGCCAAAAAAACCCTAGGCCCCAAAAGCCAAAAGTTATGGTGATTAGCTTTGACAGAAACAGAACAGAAAAGCAAGCTTGAATGAGACAGACTTTTTTTTGTGTGTTTGTGTTCTCCTAGCTCATACCCAGGATCACAAGAAATTATGTCAAAGAAGGATATATGGAGAAAACAGGACCAAAAGTAAGTGCATACTTGGCAGTACACAAACAGGATCATTCCAGGTGGAGAATATTTGATAATTCTATGATGTTTACTAGTAAATGGTTTGTTGAGTGACTATATGCTTCCTGGGTTGATAAAAGACATTATGTTCAAGCCTGTTGTGTTCTCTGGGATCATGTTTTATTTTGTGTGGAAAATAAGACTGGGAAGAAGAATCCTCCTTGAAGAGTAAGCAAGATGGATTAGCTGGCAGTGGACATGCAAAGTCCTGTTACACAATGCTAGATGGATAGCTGTATCTGCTAACTGCAGCTCTAGAACTGCAGCTCCTGCTAGAACAGAACATCACATGCTGACTCCCCTACTTCCCTGTTTCTCTTAAAGTCAGCAGCACGTAAGTCACAGCTGCTTATAGCAGCAAAGTATGATTGAGCAAATTCTCCACAGTGAAGCCTATGGTTTGGTTTGTTTTTTGTGGGAAAGTATTTGGGCCACTACACCTTGAAACAGGAGAGGGAGATTCCAGGCTCTGCTGAAGGAGGAGATAAAGATCTGAGGTCTTGTTTGAACATTGGCACTTCTTGCTTTGCTGTCCTCTGAGTGAACCATGAGCCAAAGTCCCGTTAAAAAGTTGTGAAATGCTGGTATTGAATATGCTAGGGTTTTGGCCCAGCTCAGTGCTAGTGTCCCAATACATCTTCCTGCAGGTACTTGCACAGAGAATACTCACAGCTACAAGCATGAAAGATCGTGTGTTTTTCTCCTGAGGCCTAAATTCTGCTCAAACTGAAGTGAGCCCTACAAGAGGAGCCTTCAGTTCAGCGTGGAGCAATGAATAGCTCAGAGAATGGTCAGATGAGTGTTGATGGAATTAATTCCATCAGTTGATGGAATTCCATCAGTTGATGGAATTAGCACTTTAAAAAAAACCCTACCATTTGTCCCTACCATTGTGCATCCCGTAATGCTAGGGACAACCCCCCAAACCAAAATGCTGAAATTGATTGCACGCTCTCCTCGTTATCGCCACTGGCCCAGGGATCATTCTCTGCAGTGCTTTCAATTAATCCATTTGCTGCAACTTTCTTAATCCTGGTAATTTGATCACAACCAAACTACCCTGCCTTACCCAAAGGATTGTCATTGAATGCAAATCTCTAGTTTGAACCCGGGGAGAAGGGAGCTGCGGGCTGCACGCAGCAGGGACTCACAGGGATGAATTAAACTGAACTCAAGCTCCGAGTCATTTAAGCAGTCCAGGGATCTGCCTTGAATAGGCCGAACTCCCCTTTGGGACTTGGTCTTTAAAGAACTTCTACCATCTCCTTGCAGCAGAAGGAGGCCTTTAAGATGCGCTGGTTCTGCCTGGATTCTCAAGAAAGGAACCTGATGTACTTTAAAAATCCGCTGGTAAGAGGAGTGTTCGCTATTCCACAAGCCCCTTCATGAAGTTGGGTGGGGAGGAAGGGTCTGTTCTCATCCAGCTCTTCCAGTGGCTGCACAAGACTGAAGCAGGCTCAGTCTCAAGAGCTCATCTCCCTTGTCAATGGATCTCTTTGGAGCTGAGCTGTTTGGGAACTCTGGCCCTTACAGTGGCTGTGAGGAAGATCTAAGTCTTTTAAAAGTATCTGCTACTGCCTGTAGCGTTTATAGCCTGCTCTCTCCCAGCCCTATTGCCATTGTGCCTCTGACCTTAGGCAAGATGAGCAATACACCAATAACAGAGGCTTGGCAGCCCCAATATCCTGCTTCCTAGCACTGCTCTAGCCACGAGAATATCTTTCCTTGCTCCTGAACACCCACCAACCAGCTCTGTAAGGATGGGTCCCTACTGCCTTCTTCTGAGAATGCCCGTGAGTGTAAAAAAAACTCTGTTGTGTTTCCTGCTGCCTGTCACCAAATCGGTGTCCCCTTCACACATACCCAGTTCCTGCTCCATGTCAAAGGATAGAACAGTGTCTGCTGGAGCTGTGCTGTCCACTGGCTAATGGCTGTCTTCTGCTTCCTTCTTTCTAGGATGCATTTGCACAGGGCCAGGTTTTTATTGGAAAGATGCATGAGGGATATGAAGTACGAGCTGGCTTGCCCCAGGGAGTCCGGGTGAAGAAGAGGAAACCAGCGATCACTGTGGTCACGCCAATGAGAGAGTTTGTGTTTATATGTGAGAATGATAGGGAGCAGAGGGAGTGGATAGATGCCTTAAATGGAGTCATTGCCCAGCCTTTGACTGGTTAAGACTAGCACTGAGTTCCGGTGAACTGCACTTCTTGGGGCTCTGTTCAGCTCTGCTCTGTGGCCTCTTTCTGCTGGCAAGGATGGTGCTCAAGGCCCTGCAGTGACTCTAGTACAAAGGGCTTCTTCCTTCAACAGCCATAGGCACAGGAAGGGTGGCAGCAGAGAAATGAGTAAGGGGGAGTGCAGCTATTCAGAAATTATCTGTGCCCCTGCAGAACCTTGCTTGAAGTGCCTTCTCTCTTCCTACCCTTCCCTGCTTTTGAGCAGAGGAGGCCTTCCTAGCCTGACATAGGGATGAATCATCCAGCGTTGTCCTATGGAAAAAAACCCAAAGTCAATGGAGAGAGTCTGACCCCAGAAGGGCTGGCATGCATTTCCTTGAGAACTCCTGCAGGTGCTGTTACATCAGCTCCTCCTTTTCTTGCCTTGATCTGATGTCAGAAGGACTCCTGTACATCCTGAAGGATGTACCTGACAATCCAGCCAGTGGCATATATCCTGTCAGTGAATGGGGTCATCTGTTAGATGAGTCCACAGGGACAGTGACCAAGAGGCAAAGATACCGTATCCTGTCAGGAAGATGCAGGGTGTCCTGTTGGATAGATCTAAGATACCAATTCATGCTGGAGTCACTGGATGTTCTTCTCGGGGAGGAGCAGACTCAGGCAGCTACACTGCACCTGCCTGCAGCTCCTGTCCAGATAGGGACATGGCTGTTTTCAACAGTGTGGGTTTAATGTCTTTGTTTACAGTGTTAGATTTCTGGCACAGTAAAAAATAAAAGCCAAGTTTGAATTGTGGAGGATACTGTAATGGAATCACTCTTGATGTATGAAAAATACTCCTAGCTCCTTGCTTTCAACAGTCTCTGCTGTTTGCCTTTTTTATGAGTGGCAAATCCAACATGTGAAGACCAAATTTTTCCAAAGCAACCCCACATAGTGCCCCAGCAAACACATCATGAGTACAGGACGAACATACGCTGATCTGTCTCCTAAAAAACAGCTGAAGCTTAATGAGCTTGATTAGTCTGAGCATTCAAAGGGCAGAAACTAGTTTTAAAAGTGTTATCTTCAGTGACTTGCTTGAAGACACTCAATGAATGAGGACCAGCACTGGAAGTGGAGGGCGAGTGCCTCCTGATCAGATACCACTTACATCCATTCTGTGCAGGAATTCATGAAGCTTTGCATTGGCTGACACAGTGCACTGAGTATTTCCTTGCCTCAAGACCAAGTCTGAGATTTGGTTCTGCCAAGCAGCCAGGCATTCAGATATTTAATTCTTCTTTTCAGATAGCCTTAGTTTGCACATCAAGAGGAAGTCTTGCAGACTAGGTTTCTGGTGAGGCTTCCATCTTTTGCTGACAATTGCTAGCCAGTCTGAGATACCCGGAATAGTTCTCCTCTTCTGCAGAAATGAGGAAGTGCCAATTCTTGCAGGGATTAGTGAGATTAACTCTTCCCCCCCCCCCAATAGTGCAGAAGAATGGTTTGAGTTGGATCATCATTCTGCCTGTCTCAGCCAGCTCATCACCATCCAACTCTGAGCAATCTGCAGCAGTTTTGCTTGCTGATACGCTCCCATAAACTTCCCTGTGTTCCCACTCTCTCTTCCCACACAACCTGATTCATTCTAGCTCACATGCTGGTTCAGCAAATCTTTTTAACAACCTAATCCTGCAGCCCTTGAAATCAATAGCAAAGCACCTTCTGACTTGTATGAGGAACACTGTCAGTCTTCGTTTGGTTTGACATATGTTTATTGTTATTTTGAGATGAACTGAGTAACCCAGGATGACTTCAGGAGAGTTCAGTCCATCCAGTAGCCTAAACTTGACACGGATGGGGCTCTGCAAGTCCCATGCTGCTGTGTTGCTTGCTCTCCCGGATGGATCAGTAGACCAGCCATGTCAGCAAATCTGATATCATTTGTTACAAAACCGGGAAATTCCCTGTGAAAATGAAATCGTGCAGATAACAGCAACTTTTTTGGAGAGTAAATAAAAGTCAAGGCCAGGTCATGGGGAGCTCCGTGTCACAGTTCATTTCTACAGTCAACCCAAATCCTCGGACCAAGTCGCCAGCAGAGGAAGAGCTGGGCCGGTACTGGGCTTTCTGGCTGGCGTGGGGAGCTCCGGTGGGGCACAGCCGTGTAGATGGCCCATCCCGGTACAGCGCAGCCGTCTCTAACGGAGCAAATATCAGGGCAGAGCCGTCCAGCCTCGCGTCTTCGCCCGTCCCGGCGCTCTCCCGGCCCTCCGGCACCCGGGGGAAACGAAACGCAGTCGGCCGCTCCGCCCCGG